CTATACATAATAACAAACTGTCCAAAAAACTGAGAAAATCATCTCATTTACACTTGTATCAAAAAAGAGTAAGATACCTAAGATAAATTTTACCAAGAAGGTGAGAGGCCTATATACTGAAAACCAAAATGTTAACGAAAGAAATCAAAGAAGGTGCAAACGAATGGAAAGACATTCTGCTCATGGTTTGGAAGACTTAGTATTGTAAAAATCTCTCTCTGCCTCTCTCTGTCTCTCTCAGCCTCACTGACTCTGCTCGTCTCTCCTGCTCCAGAGAGGCTCCATCACAGAGCCAGGGCAGGGCCCCGGAAGATTGAGGCTCACTTCTTTAAGACCTTGCAGCCGGAGAAGGAAAAACTCTTCCAGGCCACCTTCAGTTAAAAACAGCTCTGCGATGGGCTCTGATTGGCCCAGCCAGTGTCTGGGGCACTTTGGGGTTGCTGTGATGACAGCCCCCTCTGGGCCACTGCTTTGAAAGAACATTTTCAAGAAGAGCAGTGAGCTAGGCTGGCCCGGAAAATGATGCCTGCAGAGGTTGTCTTCCCTGTGGAAGAGAAGAGGGCCACCTCCGGGCCTGGGGCAGCTCCAGATTTGCCTTCTACAAACCAGTTTGCACATTGCAGTTGGCATTTGTCTGCTTTCGTATTGGAAAACGTCTTAGGAAGTAAGGTAAAATGAAAAAAAAAATCCTCCCATTTCCTTTGGGAAAGGTGGACAGATGAGTGGAGAGGCTGAGTGGTAATGAGGTTACAGGTCAGAAGGTGGCACAACTTAGTAGAATGGAAACCGTCCTAGTCGCCTGGAACCCAGATGTGTAAACTGTCTTGGTGGGGCCCACGGGCAACCCACTTCAGCATCCTGGAGCCCCCTGAGCAAATGCCGCTTTGGGATAACAATTTATTTTGTGGGTCACAGAGTGTCCCAGAGCCTTAAATCTAAAAACAACATTTGCTGATGTGACTTGATTGTAACAATGCAGTTTGCTGTGTTTATATGTAAAGGTGTGAGAGGCTTTTGTTTATTTTATGTGTGTAAAGGATTGATCTGTTTTTCTTTGTGGAGAGCCCAGCTTTGAAACGCCTGGTTTCTCTGGAAGCTTCCTTTGATTCCACCAAAGGTAGGGCCCACTGACTTTCTCTCTGCAGTGGTCCGAGGCAGCACAGTGCAGTGATTGGGGGCTGCAGACACAGTGTGACTGGTCCCCACCCAAAGGATGCAGAATTCAGTTTCCTGGGCATCTACAGGCTGGCTGAGCAAATTAACTGCCTCACAACTCGATGGTTGACACCAGAACCAGCCTGGAGTGGTGAGCTGTGCCCCTTAGACCCCGTTGTTGCTGGATCTCTGACAGTGCTAGGAGGCGTTCACGTTAGCTTGTAATGCATGCTTGTCTTGTGAGTCTAAGTAAAGACTCATTTACTAAGAGAAAGATAAGTCTCTCAGCTCTACTCTTGGAACTGTAAAGTTTGTCTTAAGGGGACTGTGCGTAAGCCCAGTCAGCGCCCTGCTGTGTGCCTTTGAGTAAGCCGCCACAGTGCTCGGGGCGCAGTTACCCACCTGCAAAACTGGAGGGCTGGACTGAGCTCTGCCGAAGGCCCCTCCCAGCCGCAGGGCAGGGCCCAGTGCGCAGGCATGCCTGTGCGGTTCTCCTCCTCCCTCCTGCAACGCAAGCTTCTGCAAGTACCTCTGACTGCACCGCGGGCCGAAGGTGAAACCGCGACTGAGCGGGCCTGTGGTTCACGCCTCTCTTCTCCTACTGGCTAATCTGCTTCGTGAAGTATCCTGTGATCTGGTGAAACGGAAGAAAAAGAAACTGTGAACCCGAAACTCGCATCTCATTCTAAATTCTGCAGATGAATTCATTAGTCCCGCAGATTGCCAGAGCACAGACGTCCACAGCCGCTGTGGGGGAACGTGCTGTGCGGTCCGAAGTTGGCGAGAAGGGGAATCTTTTCTGTAAAAGCCTACAGTGCTAATGATTTTTAAAAAGTATAAATTTTAAATTTCAATTAAAACATCAACACAGTGTTTAAAGGCTTTCTAACTAAAGCTTTTACTGGAAAGCTTACGCCGTGATTTGCATGTTGTGCACAGCATTATGGCTGTTTATTTGTGGCTGTTTTCTCTTCGGCCTGCCCCGAGCCCACCCCCCACAAGGTCCCTCACCAAACCCAGCCCTGTGGACAGCATCATGAGTGTCTTTTGGACCAAATTTTCTGATCTCAGGTCCAGGATTTTTGCTTCGTAATAATAATAATACAATACATGTTTAAAAATACAAAAGATTAGTATGAAATTCCATATAGCTTTAATCAGGGAAAAAATTTAACACAATGTACAAGGTGAGAATCTATCTGAGAGTCTGCACTCGGCTAGAAAAACCCACAGTAGAGTTTATTCTCTAGAAAGTAGTAGGCAGACTATGGCCTGGGTGCCAGATCTGGCCTGCCACCGGGTATTGTACCGTTCTTGCATTAAGACTACTCCTTACACTATTAAGTGGTTGTGTAGGTACACACAAAATATCCTCAGTTTTGCCTCTTGACTCTCAAAACCTGAAGTATTTTCTTTCTGGCCCTTTAAGAAGTTCACCAACCCCTGCCCTACTTGAAAGGGGTAAACAACTCATGGAGTGTTTCAGCGGTGCCTCCTGGAAGGAACTCTTACAGCAAGCCCAAAACCTTTGGTAACAAAGTTGACGCACCAGTACCTACGTTTGTAAAGCGGTCCTCGCCGCTGTGACCACGTTCACTTTTATCTTGTTGGTGTGATTCCAGGTCCTCATGTCAGAGATTGTTCCACTTTGTGAGCAAAGGAAAAAAACCACAGATAAGTGATATCAAATAAAAATACAGTAAAAGAGAAGGTTGTCAGAAGATCCTGACTTGATAGTGGTGTATAAACTAATCTGAGCAGGCTGCCCTCTTGTTGTGTTTGTAACTCCAAAAGTAAACCTGTTTTTGTCTCAGGCATGTGGGGCTCTGCCTGTTGATAGGAAAATTCTCTTGTCGTTCCAAAACTCTGTCCTAGGCAAGGTAAACAGCGGAGCCTGTCTCACTGTGAAACAGATAAAGTGTGTTCCACTGGTTACTGAGACTTGGAAACGAAAGACACCCCCTCCCCGTCTCTTGAATGTGAGACATGGAGCCAAGAGAAATAGGTGGATCACCAGGCTTTACAAAGGGAGTTCACAGTAGTCTCTGATAGGATGGAATAGTATCTTTGAAAGTTTCAAAACACAGATAAGATTAACTCATTTGTATTTCTTGGGAGTTACTCTTGAAACAGTAAGTTCCAGCCAGGTTCAGGCTGTTCCCGTGTAGTCAATACCACCACCTGCTGGCCTCATCATGGAATTCTGTTTGTGCCAAGGTTTATAGAAACTGCTGTAAATGCAGAACTCCTCTACTTAACAGTTCAGACTCTTCACTTTCCCTTACCAGTGGACTTCACAGAAATGTGCTATAGTCATTTTACAGCGTTGTGTCAAATTCCAGTATAGAGCACAAGTTTTCAGTCATATATGAACATATATTCATTGTCACATTTTTTTTTCACTGTGAGCTACCACAAGATCTTGTATATATTACTCTGTGCTTTACGGTATAATCTTGTTTATCTATTCTGCATATGCCTGTCAGTATCTACAAAGAATGTACGCATAGTGAAGATAAATTAAGGAAAAGAGGTGAAACTTGCATTAGCTGTTTGTATCTCATTCATTAAATGGTGAGAGGGAAGTTTAAAATTACTGGTTAAAGGGAGGGTCCAGTGACTGATTCTTTGTACTTTGAATCCATTCTTCGTGGATCTAGAACACTATTATTTTAATGGAGCTACATTGATTTAATCATTAAGGCCTGATGCTTATGTCTGTATGTACCTTTTACTGCAGAAAGCCACTTCCCAATAAACGTGCTGGGAACCACACATTTGATTAGAAATTAGTTTCACCAAACATTTTTGCTACTGTTTCTGTAACATGGCTGCATTTGACATTACTTTTGCATTTGTTCTGAATAGAATGTATACAGTCAGTTTAAAACATAGAAGCTACGTGGAAGAAACACATATAAGTGACGTTTGTGCAACTGTAATGGGCCAGATTCCTTAGAAGTGGGGGTGGAGGGTGGGTTGGTTTAGGGAAATCTCCATAGAACCATAAATGCTGTATATTTTGTGATTTTTAGGTCAGCTGAAATACCTAAATCTGCACAAAATGATGATACCTTACTTCAGTTTTCCAACGTACGTAACTTGAAGAGTAGCGTCAATGCCTAAAGACAGGAACTGGCAGGACTTCAGAATTGCAGGCTAAAAAACAGCACCGCCCCCGAACACTAGTAGGCATACATTTAGACTTAAAATAACTTCTGTAACATTGGAAGTTGGTGTTGAATAACTAACAGTGTCTGTATGAGCACACAAGTCAAATATTTTCAGTTAAAAACAGATTCAGTTGTATCCATAAAGCAGCACAACTTAAAATTCTAAGTAAGTTTTAAGATTCTTGGAGAGCAGCCCAGGTTTCTTCCTTGGTGGCTGCAGTCCAGTCAGAGTGCTGGGTGTACGTACTTCTACCGATGGTAGTTTAAACCACTACTCACTGCGAGCGCGGAACGACTGATTCTGCGGCCCTGCCTGATCCGGCCCTTTTTTGTTGGGGAAATGGAGGCCCTGAGTGGCTAGATCAGGTCGACTACACTGTCAAAATGTGTTTCTGAGTCAGGACAAGGATGAAGGTTTAAATAAGTAGTGGTGGTTTTGACTGTGTCCTACTTGAATAGTGAACTTATGGAGCATAACTAAGCCATTTTTTTTTGGACTTGCTCACACATTAATTGGCCCACTTTTTTCCATCATATTTTAGAAGTCTTTTGGGCCTTCAAAGTTTTTAAAATTTATATTGTGTGTTGATGTGTAAAATGCACAGCATAAAAACCCAGCAGAGTACACGTGATTTCACAATTAGAGGCTTACATCAAGGGATGAAGCCATAGTTAGGTTTTAGGGCTCCATGCAGCCATTAGACCTGCTCTCGGAGAGGGAGGCTGTGCCACCATGGGGGCAAGGAAGAGGAGGTAAGTTACTGCCAAGTCCTCTGCTCCTGAGCATCACCTCCCATACTCTCCGCCGCCCTCCACAGACATGGTCCCAGGTGATGCGCCTCGGCCAGCTGTTCACTTGTTCGTTCACTCACTCCTTCATTCTGTATCTGCTGTGTTTATTGAGAACCTATTACAGCAACACCTCTGCTGAATAATATATGGAAGGAGAAAAGATTAGAGATTCAAAAAAAGTCCAGCTGTATTTTTTCTAATTCTCGCCTTTCTTCTTGTGGGTATTTTTAATCCCCCTTTCCAGCAGACCAGACTCTGAAGTTTCCTTGCCTTTTCCTTCTTGTCAGCAACGTTCCCCAGGGCTCCTGCTCAGAAGCAGCATCATGTTTTATTAATAAGGACTCCTGAGACCTCTAGTTCAGATACACACTCAGAAAAAGCTGGCATGCTGTATTTTTATATTAAATTAATATGGATTAGCCCATGGATGGATGACTGGCTACATTTTACCTCAATCTTTTAAGTGTATATACGATAGCATGTCTTTCTTCCTTCTCAAAAATGTACTTTAATAAGAAAGATTCATTTTAAATCCTCCAAGTAGGGATCCATCATTTGGCAGATTATCTATAAGCAAGTTTTTCCCCCTTGTATCCTGGGACCTCTCCTATAACTCACCTGCAGTCTTAGTCTGGTGTGTTCACGAGTGGGAGTCTAATGTGAGATGTATCAGCACATAGAACTGGATAGCGTGAAGATGTTGCTGGTATCAGCTGGAGAACCACAAAGTAAACTAGTATAAGTGCTTTTTTTTCACTTTAATAATTTGGAAATCTGTTACGTCACACAGTAAGAAATGCAGAGGTGAGGTTCCAGGATGAGCAGCGCAGTGTCATCACGAAGGAGGAGCTTGCGTGCTCCACCCTTCCACGCCTGCATCTCTGCTTGCAGGAGACAATTACACATACCCTGCCCCTCACCACGACGGCTGCGCTCTGATCCCCGGGAACTGTGAATAAAGCAAGCAGCAGTTCCCTACTGTGAATTTTTGTCTGCATTTTTTAAGCCAATGAATCCATGGGTCACTGTAAAAGCATTTATGCTGTACGGTAACTGGCTGTACGTGTTCCTGCCTACAATCCAAGTTAATGCAGGTGTGCAACAATTACATTCAGTATCTGAAGATCAGGAGGTGATCATTTAAGCATTTTACATCCTAACATTAGATACTGCCTCTGTATTTCTATGTTGCAGTTATGTTTTAGGAAACCCTGCAAAGCAGTGTAACTTTTTTCCATCTCCAAACAATGGGTGATTTTCAGAAACAAATTAATGGTGTTAAGAGGGAAATGCTTGGATTCCCAAATCCACTCCATCCACACCTGCTCCTCCCCGCCCCCCAGTCTAAGTCCTGTCTCCTGCCTCGGCTCTGTGGTCGCTTCTGGCTGGTCTTTCTGCTCCCACTCCTGTCTTCCCAGCCAGTTCTCCACAAAGCAGCCAGAGTGGCTTTTAAAGACAGTGGTAGAGTAAACCTATAAGGCTCATGATTCCATCATTTCTAAGTGGCAGTTCAGTGGCATTAACTGCATCCACACTGTTGGGCAGCCATCACCGCTTTCAGTCCTGGAACTTCAGTGCAAAGCTTGTGCCTGTGCCGCCCGTGGTCCCGTCGCCCCTTCACTGTCTCGGCGGTGCGCCTGGTCACCACAGTAGGACTGTGGGAAAGCCCTGGACCAGTGTGGTTGTGAGGACCCGCGGAGGAGATGCCTTTAGAGTTCCCACGTCGGGGACTGGCTGTCTCTTATCTGTCATCTTTAAGTGTACCATGCAGGCTGAGCATATTTCCCAGTACCCACTCTGACACAGGCTCATGACCAGGACAGACTACAAACGGAAGAGCCCAGTGTCAACGACGGTCCAGCTCTAGAAGCAGCAGCATGGAAACCACCAGACTCGTCAGAACGGCAACAGTTAGAAGGCCGGGCGGCACGAGCGCCGACAGAAGTGTGGGGAGACGGGGCGTTGCTGACAGGAGTGCAGACTGGTTCAGTCACTCTGGAAAGCCCTAGTTTCCGTGTGAAGTTGAGTGTGCATCTTTCCTCGGACCCAGCGGTCCGCTCCTGAAGTTGTGCAGTGTGCTGCTTTCACAGCCCCGGGCCATGGCGCTGACTCAGGACCACGAAATGAGTGGCCGGAATATCCGGCAGGAGGTCCCCCCACCTGCCAGGTATTCCAGAGATCTAGGCCTGTCCCAGCGGCGGTGCCTGAAAAGGAGAAGTGATGACGCCAGTGTGTTTCCAGGACTGAGCGGAAAACAGTCATGCCACCCAGGGAGTCCTCACCTCATCGTGGACCTGAAGAAGGTCTGAAGCCGTGTGCCCCCAGGGAGGGAGGGAGGCCTTGGGAGAGTCTGGGTCCTCCCAGCACTGGGAGTTGAGGGGCAGGGATGCAAGTGGACTCACACAGACAGAGAGGAGGGGCTGCAGGGCCTGGGAGGACCCATGTGGCCAGTAAAGGAGGAGGGTGCGGTCCCGGGGGCCATGAGAGGCAGGCCAGGGGACCCCAGGGCTGCTGAGGAAGGTGGTGGGGGAGCCTTCCAGGGTTTCCACATCCAGAAGAGAGCAAGGGAGTGCATCTCCTCCAAGGACAGAGGGATCCTGACCCTGGAAGTCCTGTCAGTCTG